CCCGATGTGCCCCTGAGCCACCCCCGGGCCCCACCGAGACATGTTCGACCCCGCGGGACCCCCGGCCGCCGGCTACAGCGAGCACTGCTGCCTGCACCCCCCCCACGGACCGGCCCCCGCCGCCCCGGGACCGCCAGGTGGGTCATGGTGGGGGCTCCAGGACCCGCGTGCACCCCTCCCCCCCGAGGTCAGGGGTGCTCCGGGGGTCCCTGTCCCACACTCAGCTCTCCTGTTCTCCTTCCTCCAGGACTCGATTTCCCCGTGTGCCACCAGCCCGGGCACCGCGGGTATGGGCTGGCACCAGGAGCTGAACACCCTGGTGATGGTGAGTCTCCGGTTTTGGGGGGCCGCGGGGCAGGGGGGATTCCGTAGAGGGGTTAAACATCTCTCTGTTCTAAATCCGAAGTGAGCTGGCACACTCAGGGCACTCCTACAGCCTCCAAACACCGGGTGCTTGTCCTTGGGGAGCCTCCAGCCCCCCAGGACCTTGCTGAGGGCAGTGCCCCCTCCTCTACCCCCCCAGGCTCCCGGTTCTCCACGCCCCGCGGCGCGGGAAAGCTGGGGAAGAAGCGGGCACTGTCCATCTCCCCTCTGTCCGACTCCAGCATCGACCTGCAGACCGTGATCCGCACCTCCCCCAACTCCCTCGTGGCCTTCATCAACTCCCGCTGCGCCTCCGCCGGCGGCTCCTACGGTCACCTGTCCATCAGCACCATCAGGTGGGCACCTGCCCTCGGCCCCCTGGCAGCCTGGCAGGGCGCTGAGTGCCCGTTCCCACCTTGGGGAGCGCTGGGAGCAGGGTGGGGTGGTGGGGAAGGGGTGACTCAGACCTCGCTGTTGTCTCCTGACGGTGTCACCTGCTCGTCCCTCTGCTCTCCACAGCCCGTCCCTGGGGTACCAGAGCCCACCCGGGCAGCAGAAGGGCCAAGGGCACCTGTACACGCCTCCCCCACCTTGCAGCTCCCACGAGCTGCCCACGCGCCCGGGGCTGCTGCAGCACCAACCTGCTCGTGGGGCACTGAAACACTGCCAGGTATGGGGGATCTGTGAATGAGGGGCACAGAAACACTGCCAGGTATGGGGGATCTGTGAATGAGGGGCACAGAAACACTGCCAGGTATGGGGGATCTGTGAATGAGGGGCACAGAAACACTGCCAGGTATGGGGGATCTGTGAATGAGGGGCACAGAAACACTGCCAGGTATGGGGGATCTGTGAATGAGGGGCACAGAAACACTGCCAGGTATGGGGGATCTGTGAATGAGGGGCACAGAAACACTGCCAGGTATGGGGGATCTGTGAATGAGGGGCACAGAAACACTGCCAGGTATGGGGGATCTGTGAATGAGGGGCACAGAAACACTGCCAGGTATGGGGGATCTGTGAATGAGGGGCACAGAAACACTGCCAGGTATGGGGGATCTGTGAATGAGGGGCACAGAAACACTGCCAGGTATGGGGGATCTGTGAATGAGGGGCACAGAAACACTGCCAGGTATGGGGGATCTGTGAATGAGGGGCACAGAAACACTGCCAGGTATGGGGGATCTGTGAATGAGGGGCACAGAAACACTGCCAGGTATGGGGGATCTGTGAATGAGGGGCACAGAAACACTGCCAGGTATGGGGGATCTGTGAATGAGGGGCACAGAAACACTGCCAGGTATGGGGGATCTGTGAATGAGGGGCACAGAAACACTGCCAGGTATGGGGGATCTGTGAATGAGGGGCACAGAAACACTGCCAGGTATGGGGGATCTGTGAATGAGGGGCACAGAAACACTGCCAGGTATGGGGGATCTGTGAATGAGGGGCACAGAAACACTGCCAGGTATGGGGGATCTGTGAATGAGGGGCACAGAAACACTGCCAGGTATGGGGGATCTGTGAATGAGGGGCACAGAAACACTGCCAGGTATGGGGGATCTGTGAATGAGGGGCACAGAAACACTGCCAGGTATGGGGGATCCATGAGAGTGGGATCCCTGTGAGAGAGGGATCCCTGTGTTTGGGATCTGTGTGAAAAGAGATCCATGTGAGAGGGATCTGTGTGAGAGATCCCTGTGAGAGGGATCGGTGTGAGAGGGGATCCCTGTGAGAGGGATCTGTGTGAGAGATCCCTGTGAGAGGGATCCCTGTGGGAGGAATCAGTGTGAGAGGGATCCCTGTGAGAGGGATCTGTGTGAGAGAGATCCATGTGAGAGGGATCCGTGTGAGTGGGGTTTCGTGTGAAAGGGGATCCCTGTGGGTGGGGTTCCCTGTAACTGGGGATCCCTGTGAGTGCGGCTCCATGTAAGTGAGCCGTGTCCATGTGAGCTGTGCATCCGTGTAAGTCCTGTTCTGGTGCCCATCTCCCTGCTGACTGCTTCCTGCTCCCCTGCCCTGGCAGCAGCTGAAGCTGGAGTGGAGCCTGAGCAGCCCCCTGAGTGCCAAATTCCCAGAGGAGCGATCTGAGGGTGACATCTCCAGCCCAGCATCCACAGGCACCCAGGTACATCCCAGGCCATCAGATCCCATCTCCCACCCCCCACTCCCCAATCCCGTGGGCTCACCTGGGAGCGCTCACCTGCCCGTGCCCCCCAGGACCCCTTGCTGGGCATGCTGGATGTGCGGGAAGAGCTGGAGAAGGAGGATGGCAAACCCGAGTGTGAGGCTGTGTATGAGACCAACTGCTACTGGGACGGCTGTGCCAAGGAGTTCGACACACAGGAGCAGCTGGTGCACGTGAGTCAGGGGCTGCCAAGGTGTTCCCACCCCAAAATCTGGCCTCAGGCTGCTGGGCAACATCTCCCTGGATCAGCTCAGGATTCCTCCTCCCAGGTCCCAACCACCCCTGGGAACTCACCATGATGCTGGAAGTTCCCTCCTGGGAAGGGAGGGATGTGCATTCCCCGGTTCTCCTAAGCCACTGGTGCTTCCACACTCCCTCCTTTGCTCCAGCTTTCCTTCCTCCAACTCTCCTATATCCCCCTGACAATCCTTTGGACCACCTTGACCCCTCTGGCTGCTCTTGGACCTCCCAGAGTATTCCTCAAACATCCCCTGCATTCTCTGCTTCCTCCAAACACCACCTGACCTATTCTCCCCCAAACTCTGGTGTCTGCACCTGCCGTCCCAGTCCCACTTTGTCCCTTTCTCCCATCCCAGTCTGTCCATGTCCCTTTCTCCCACTCCACTCCTCTCCCAATCCCTCCATCCCCTTTCTCCCATCCCAGTTCTCTCCTGTGTCTCTTTCTCCCATCCCAGTTTCTCCTGTATCCCTTTCTCCCATCCCAGTCTGTCCATGTCCCTTTCTCCTACCCCAGACTCTCCTGTATCCCTTTTCCCATCCCAATCTGTCCATGTCCCTTTCTCCCATCCCAGTCTCTCCTGTATCCCTTTCTCCCATCCCAATCTGCCCATGCCCCTTTCTCCCACCCCAATCCTCTCCTGTCTCCCTTTCTCCCATCCCAGTCTGCCCATGCCCCTTTCTCCCACCCCACCCCTCCCCTCTCCCAATCCCTCCATCCCCTTTCTCCCCTGACACTCCTGCATCCCCCCGTCCCTTGCCCCCTCCCCAGTGCCCCCAGTGACGCTGCTCTCCCTCCCCAGCACATCAACAACGAGCACATCCACGGCGAGAAGAAGGAGTTCGTGTGCCACTGGGCAGCGTGTTCGCGGGAGCAGAGGCCCTTCAAGGCTCAGTACATGCTGGTGGTGCACATGCGGCGCCACACGGGCGAGAAACCTCACAAGTGCACGGTGAGATGCCAAAAACTCCTCCAAAATCCTGGCTGGGCTGGGAGGATGAGGGGTGTCTCGGTTTGGAAAGCCAGGTGTGGGCTAAGGAAGGCAGGAGCCTCCCCTGAAATGGAAAATGGAAACCCCCTCCCTCTGAATTGTTATAAATTTGAAATTAAGGGGCTCTCAGGCAAAGATATGGGAGCAGGAATAACAGTTCTTTATTAGGGAAGAAAATTTAAAAATAAAATAAACAATGCAGTAAATCAAAACAACACTGTCAGAGTCAGAACACAACCTGACACCCTGTTGGCAGCAGTCCAGTTGGAATTGTGGCTGCAGCCCTCCTGCAGTGTCAGGTGTGGTTCTGCTGGAGCAGGGATCCTGGACAAGGGTGCAGTCTTCCTCTGAAGATCCAGTGGAAGAGGCAGCTGCTCCTCTGGGAATGCAGTGGAGAAGCTGCTCTGCTGTCCCAGAATCTCAGATTCTATCCAGGCAGGAATGTTTGAAATCTCAGGTTATATCCAGGCAGGAATGTTTGAAATCTCAGATTCTATCCAGGCAGGAATGTTTGAAATCTCAGATTCTATCCAGGTAGGAATGTTTGAAATCTCAGATTGTATCCAGGTAGGAATGTTTGAAATCTCAGATTGTATCCAGGCAGGAATGTTTGAAATCTCAGATTCTGTCCAGGTAGGAATGTTTGAAGTCTCAGATTCTATCCAGGCAGGAATGTTTGAAGTCTCAGATTCTATCCAGGTCGGAATGTTTGGCTCCTCCCTGGGCGGAGCATCTCCCAATGGGATGATGGAATTTCATCAGTCTTGCAGTGACACTCACTGGCCCATGAACAGGAGATAATTAATAATTAAAGGCCCATGATCAGGAGACAATTAATAATTAATGGCCCCTTAACAGCAGAGATCTCCTGGAGGGAGGATTGGTTTATGCAAGAGAGAAAGAAAACTGCCCAATGAGCAGCAGATAACTGCCCCACCTCTGACAGATGGCAAATGGAACACACATTGCCTTGCAATCCAGGACAAGGGGGGACAGGGGAGAGCATGAGAGGGGGTACAGGTGTGTTGGATTATGCTCTTTTTTGACTTAGATATGGAGTAACTGAAAGGCATTTAAAAAACTTTTATTCCATTTTCAGTCTCATGAGAAGGGTGAGACAATAAAGATGTTATAATTCACGCGATCACAATCAGTAGCTAATTATTTCCTAATTACAACACACTATAAGCATTTCTTGCCCTATCAGCTTTTACTACACCACACTACAAATACTTTAATCGTCTAAAATTACCCCTCGTAAGTCCACCTACAATCCATCTTTCACAGTCTATTTCTCTAAATTATCTGGTCTTATTTACAAGACCATCCTCTAAAACTTATTTCTACTTTAATTTCTCTCTCAGCAATGTCTGTCCTCTTCCACAGCATTTCTAAATCAGCGTTTCTTATCTCAAAGTTTACATACAAATACACACTATATGAGCCTTCTGTCAGGTTTTAAGAATTTTATAAATTCATTTCCCACACAAGTTTAGCAGCTGGAGCCCGGGTGGCAGAAGGGGGTGGGCAGCAGGTGGGTACAGGTATGGGACTCATGAAATCCTGGAATATTTTGGGTTAGAGGCACCTTAAAACTCATCCCATCCCACCCCTTGACATGGACAGGGACAACTTCCACTGTCCCAGGCTGCTCCAAGCCCTGTCCAACCTGGCCTTGGACACTTCCAGGGATGGGGCAGCCACAGCTTCTCTGTGCCAGGGCCTGCCCACCCTCACAGGGAGGAATTTCTTCCCAAAATCCCATCCAAACCCAGAGTCACATTGCCCCAGCGCTGTCCCACGCTTTGGAATATGTTCCTGGATTTAAGTCAGGATGGGGAGCTGGGTGTTGCTGCCAATCCCAGTTTGGGGTTTCCCCATGGGGACCCCTTGAGGGGCTGCCACGGGACAGAGGGAGGTGGCACAACGCCGTGCTGAAGGGCTGTGCCGCGGTGTGAGGATGCACTGAGGAGGGCAGGTGTGTCGGGAGGTGAGATGTGTGTCCCTGGCAGACGTGCCAGGGCTGGGGGATGTGGCATGACGTGCTCCAAGGCCTGGTGACAGCACGTGACACGTCCCACCTGCTCCGCCGCAGTTCGAGGGCTGTAACAAGGCCTATTCCCGCCTGGAGAACCTCAAGACCCACCTGCGCTCGCACACGGGGGAGAAACCCTACGTGTGTGAGCACGAGGGCTGCAACAAGGCCTTCTCCAACGCCTCCGACCGCGCCAAGCACCAAAACCGCACCCACTCCAACGAGGTACGGCCCCACCAGGGCTCCCCGTGTGCTCCCAGACCATTCCTGTCCTCTGAGGGCTCCTCACATCCCTGGGTATTGCCCCTGCGTGCCCCAGCTCCCTCTTTTCCTGCTTTAAATATCTCCTCCATCACCAGCCTTCCCCCCGGGATCCCTTTACCCCGCTCCCTCCTTCCTCTGCCATCCTGAGCTCACCCCAGCGCCCACCGTGTGCCCTCCGCGGGGACTCACCCGCTTTGATGCCACCCTCAGCTCTCTCCAGAGGGTGGCAAGGGGGGTTTATTTTTGGGGAGGGGGCTGTAGTTGGAGCTGAAAGCCTCCCTCCTCCATGCCTGCCAGTTTTCGGGGTGGGCCAAGCACCAAAACCGCACCCACTCCAACGAGGTACGGCCCCACCAGGGCTCCCCGTGTGCTCCCAGACCATTCCTGTCCTTATCTCAAAGTTTACATACAAATACACACTATATGAGCCTTCTGTCAGGTTTTAAGAATTTTATAAATTCATTTCCCACACAAGTTTAGCAGCTGGAGCCCGGGTGGCAGAAGGGGGTGGGCAGCAGGTGGGTACAGGTATGGGACTCATGAAATCCTGGAATATTTTGGGTTAGAGGCACCTTAAAACTCATCCCATCCCACCCCTTGACATGGACAGGGACAACTTCCACTGTCCCAGGCTGCTCCAAGCCCTGTCCAACCTGGCCTTGGACACTTCCAGGGATGGGGCAGCCACAGCTTCTCTGTGCCAGGGCCTGCCCACCCTCACAGGGAGGAATTTCTTCCCAAAATCCCATCCAAACCCAGAGTCACATTGCCCCAGCGCTGTCCCACGCTTTGGAATATGTTCCTGGATTTAAGTCAGGATGGGGAGCTGGGTGTTGCTGCCAATCCCAGTTTGGGGTTTCCCCATGGGGACCCCTTGAGGGGCTGCCACGGGACAGAGGGAGGTGGCACAACGCCGTGCTGAAGGGCTGTGCCGCGGTGTGAGGATGCACTGAGGAGGGCAGGTGTGTCGGGAGGTGAGATGTGTGTCCCTGGCAGACGTGCCAGGGCTGGGGGATGTGGCATGACGTGCTCCAAGGCCTGGTGACAGCACGTGACACGTCCCACCTGCTCCGCCGCAGTTCGAGGGCTGTAACAAGGCCTATTCCCGCCTGGAGAACCTCAAGACCCACCTGCGCTCGCACACGGGGGAGAAACCCTACGTGTGTGAGCACGAGGGCTGCAACAAGGCCTTCTCCAACGCCTCCGACCGCGCCAAGCACCAAAACCGCACCCACTCCAACGAGGTACGGCCCCACCAGGGCTCCCCGTGTGCTCCCAGACCATTCCTGTCCTCTGAGGGCTCCTCACATCCCTGGGTATTGCCCCTGCGTGCCCCAGCTCCCTCTTTTCCTGCTTTAAATATCTCCTCCATCACCAGCCTTCCCCCCGGGATCCCTTTACCCCGCTCCCTCCTTCCTCTGCCATCCTGAGCTCACCCCAGCGCCCACCGTGTGCCCTCCGGGGGACTCACCCGCTTTGATGCCACCCTCAGCTCTCTCCAGAGGGTGGCAAGTGGGGTTTATTTTTGGGGAGGGGGCTGTAGTTGGAGCTGACAGCCTCCCTCCTCCATGGCCACTGGTTTTTGGGGCAGAAACCATACGTGTGCAAGATTCCCGGCTGCACCAAGCGCTACACGGACCCCAGCTCGCTGCGGAAACACGTCAAGACCGTGCACGGCCCCGATGCCCACGTCACCAAAAAGCACCGAGGGGACGTGGGGCCAGGCCGGGCACTGCCCACCCCCAGTGCCCCCCCGGATATGAAGCAGGAGAAGGATGCAAACGGCCCCAGCGAGGCTCGGAAGGACGATGGGAAGCTCCTGGTGCCTGAGCTGGCCTTGGTGAGGAGTTGTGGGGGTAACGGAGGATGGAGGGAGGGTTTGGTGGTGGGGGATCATCCCCAAGTGATAGGACAAGAGAAAACAGCCCCAAGCTGTTCCAGGGGAGGTTTAGGCTGGATATTAGGGAAAATGTCTTTGTTGCCAGGCACTGGAATGGGCTGCCCTATGGAATCACCATCCCTTTTTGGTGAAGTGTCCAAAAAACTCTGGGATGTGGCGCTTGGGGACGTGGTTTAGGGGTGAACGCGGCAGCGTTGGGTTAATAGTTAGACTCTGTGATCTCAGAAGCTTTCCAACCTTCACGATGATGCCAAGCGTGTCCAAGTGTGTCCTAACCCAACATGGCAGCGTTGGGTTAATAGCTGGACTCTGTGATCTCAGAGGCTTTTCCAACCCTCATGATGATGCCAAGTGTGTTCTGGGTGTTGACCCCTTTTCCCTTGGCCGTGCTCTGGCTCTCCCCAGAAGCCCCAGCCCAGCCCAGGTGGGCAGTCCTCGTGCAGCAGCGACCACTCCCCCCTGGGCAGCACCACCAACAACGACAGCGGCGTGGAGATGGCAGGAAACGCCGGCGGCAGCTACGAGGACCTGTCCACGCTGGAGGACGTGGTGCCCGGCGAGCCCATGGGCACCTCGGGGCTCATGGCCCTGCACAAACTGGAAAACCTTCGCATCGACAAACTGAAGCAGCTGAGGAAACCGGCGGCTTCCAAAGGCCTGAACCTGCCACCCATCCCTGGAGCTGGTGAGACTGGGATGCCTCTCCCCGTGGGGTGTGGGGCTTGGCCTGTTGGAAATGTGTGCAGTGATCTGGTTGGTAGCCAGAAATTTCCACACCTTGCTGGTGTTAGAAGTGCACCCCAAAATCTGGGGAAATATTAAAGCCCTATAGAGGTTCCAAGAGAACTGGGGAGGGATTTTGGACAAGGCCTGGAGTGGCAGGACAAGGGGAAATGGCTTCATGTTGGCAAAGAGGGCAGGGTTAGGTGGGGTATTGGAGGGAGCTCTTCCCTGGGAGGGTGGGGAGGCCCTGGCACAGGGTGCCCAGAGGAGCTGTGGCTGCCCCATCCCTGGGAGCATCCAAGGCCAGGCTGGAGCAGCCTGCTCTAGTGGGAAGTGTCCCTACCCATGGGACGTGGGTGGTCTTTAGGATCCCTCCCAACCCAAACCATTCCATGATTTTTCCAACCTAGATAACCTTCTGCTACTCTTTGTTGCCACCTGCCCCCTGTCCTCGCCAGCTCTAACCATGCAAGAGCCACATCCCAGCTCTGGAGGTGACTCCTGTCCCTGCCCCGACATTGCCACGCTGTGTCCGTGGGTAACTCCTCCTTCTCTCCCTCAGGCCTGCCCGGGGAGGTGCCCGGCATCCCGGTGCCACCGCCAGCCTCTCACCGGCGCATCGCCGAGCTGTCGGCGGCAGAGCTGGGCCTGGCGTGCCTGGGCGAGCGCCGGAGCAGCGGCACCAGCACCGTCAGCTCTGCCTACACCGTCAGCCGCCGCTCGTCCCTGGTGTCCCCGTACCTGACCGGGCCGTGCCCGGGCGGCGAGGCCGGAGCGATGCCCGGCGGGACGTGCCCGGTGGACGGCTACGATGCCGCCTCTCCGGACGGGTCGCGGCGCTCCGGCGACGTGTGCGGGGGGCTTCCGGGGGTGGGCAACCTCACCCCGGCACAGCGCTACCGCCTCAAGGCCAAATACGCCGCAGCCACGGGCGGCCCCCCGCCAACCCCGCTGCCCAGCGTGGAGCAGGCGGGCACGGGTGGGCACGGGGCCGTGCCCGGGGGCTACCCCGCGCCCGCCGGACCTCGCTGCGTCGCCAACGGTTTGTTGAGAAGGCACAGCTCCAACGAGCACCCCGGCTACCCGGGCAGCGTGCCTGCTCACCTGGCGCCCCGACACGGCGTGCGAAGGGCAAGTGACCCTGCCCGGACGGTGGCCAAGCCTCCGGCCGTGCCCAGGGTGCAGCGGTTTAAGAGCGTGGGGAACGTGAGCGTGCCAGGCGCGGGCAGGACGGCGCTGCAGCCCCTGGGCGGCTCCGAGGCCAACCTGCAGCGCCATGGATTCTCCCCACGCCCTCCCAGCATCACCGAGAACGTCTTCCTGGAGAGCATGGGGGGCCCTGGCCCCGAATCCGGCCTGCTGGACATGGAGCAGTACCTGAGCTATCCTGAGGAAAGCTTCCCATGCCAGGGCACTGGTGTGGAGCTCCAGGGTGGCATCTATGGTGCCCACCGGACCATGGTGGGGACACACGGGGACATGGAGGAGGGGCTGCTGCAGCCTGAGTTCTCCCTCCCGCAGTGCCAGATGAACCAGCGCTTCCCCAGTTTGCCTGCTGGGAACGGGGCCGTGCCGGAGCCCTGGGATGGACCCCCCCAGGGCACGCTGGGCATGAACTCCAGGCAAAGTGTGGGTGCTCCCACCATGTCCGGGCCACACTGTCCCCATCAAAACATCGAGTACCCCCATCCCAGCGCCTGTGGGCAGCATCCCAAACTGGTGAGCTCATGCCAGGACCAAGAATTTTCTGGGGGGCATCGGTTTAACCGGCTCCAGATCAAATCCGAGCAGCGATACCCGGCGCCGAGCCCAGCACTTGCTCCCTGCCCCAGTGCCAAGCTGGCCGGGCCCCCAGCATCCCCCGCTGCCTTCGGGCACCCCATGGATGTGGGACAAGGTGGGTACCCCCCTGCGGGACCCACACCGGGTGGGTACATGGACATGGCCAGCCCGGGCTCCCGCAGAGCCCAAATCCCCACCCTGCAGACCAAAGAGGTGATGGTCCGGAACTACGTGGAGGCGCAGCAGGCGCTGATGTGGGGGGAGCAGCCCCCCTCCAAGCCTGGCGTGGGGCTGGGCAGCGAGCCCGGGCAGTGCCAGGCCATGCCAGCCCCGCCGTACCTCAGCCCCAGGTACTGCAGCTACCAACCCAAAGCGGATCATCTGCAGAGCCTGGCAGAGCCCCAGCACCTCCTGAGCCCGCCCTGCTTCAACCCCGAGATGATCCCACACCCTCCAGGTGGCCCCAAACCACCGGGTCACCAACCCAGCCTGAGCTACCCGGGCAGCCTGGCACAAGCAGGGCACGGCTACGAGGGGGTGGACACCGGTGCCCGGCGCCTGCCACGCTTGCCCCCCGCCCGCCCCGTGCCCGAGGGGTCTGGAAACCTCCCCCTGTACTACCCCGGCCAGGGCCCCCATGGGCAGGGGGGCAAAGGTGGGCACAAGCTGGCAGGCCAGGGGGCAGCGAGTTGTGGGGGCAGCGGGCACTACGGCCCAGAGGGACTCAAGGGCACCTCCTGTTACTACCTGGACTCGGGGGAGCAGGTGGCAAACAGCCTGGACTCACTGGACCTGGAGAACACGCACCTTGACTTTGCCGCCATTGTGGAGGATGTGGAGACCCCCCCAGCACTGCCCGGACCCCCCAGCCCGGCCGGGGGGCTGCTGCTGCCCTCGTCTGGGGGTGCCAACATGGCAGTGGGGGACATGAGCTCCATGCTGAGCACGTTGGCAGGGGAGAGCCACTTCCTCAACTCGCTGTCCTAACGGGGGGTACCTGCCCCCTGACAGGGGGTACCTGCCCTCAGGTGGGCACCTCTGCGGCCAGGGGGGGTCCCAGCGTGTTGGGCAGAGGTGGGAATCCTTCTCACACCCTGGGGGGAAGCGGGGAACACCCCTGGAGCCCCCCCTTCTCCAGTCTCTGTCACCCTCGTTCAGAAGGGGTCCCGGACACAGCCCCAACCCTCCAGGTGACCTCTGCCGTGGGGAACTGCCGGGATGAGCCCCCCGCCCCCCCCCCCGTGCAGCCTTAACGCCGAAACCAAAGAGCCCCCGCCCCGCGGGCCGGCCCCATCCCAGCGCTCCCAGTGCCCCCCGCCCCAAATCCCAGTCTGTCAGGACTGCAAGCGCCCCCAGCCCCGCTCCGGGGGGGCAATTCCCCAGAGGTGGGGCGGGGGGGGTGCCTGTACATAGTGTTCATACCTGTCTGTCTGTCTGTCTGTCCCCCCGAAGCTCCTGTCTGTGAGAGCACCAGCAGTGCCACCCCCTCCCCTCATTAAACCCTTTCTCAGGGGACTGTGACTGTGTGTTTGTCACCTCTGCCGGGGGTTTGTCACCCCTGCCAGGGACTCCCTGATCTCGTCCTGGGGAGGGGACATTCCTTGGTCCTCTGTGACCAAAACCCCCCGGCAGCAGCTTCTCCACCCTCGGTCAGGGATCCGGAGCTGTTCCTGGGGTGTTGGCGTGACCCAGATTGCAATTAGTGCTTCAAGTAATGCAAACGGCTTAAAATAATGCTGTTAATTATGCAGAAATAAGGTTAAAATGATTCAATTTTCGTGCGGAAAAAAATTCGCTAAGGTAATTAGTCGTGAAAAAAAGCTTAAAATAATGCAATTTTACATTATTTTGCTTGTGTAATTAATGGTGCAAAGATTGCATAAAATAATGCAATTAATTATGCCAAAATTCCATTAAGTTATGCAATTCTGTATAATTTGCTATGACACAATAATGCAAAAAAGTACTTAAAATAATGCCATTGATGATGCAAAAAAAAAAAAAACCTTAAAATGCAATAATGCAGCATTTGCTTAAAGTAAGGCAATTATGTGTGCAAGATTTGTTTAAATAACGCAGTTGTGCATAACTTCCTTAAAATAATTCAATCAGTGGTGCAAAAAAAAATGCTGAAAATAATGAAGCAGCGCAAAAAATTTGCTTAAAATAACAAAACTAATAAGCAAATCTTGCAAGAACGCAATTTTGCATCATTTGGTTGAACTCAATTAATCATGCAAAAAAATGCTTAACGCGATTATAGAAACCAGGATGCTTCCCCGCACACCCAGAGCCTTGTCACGCTGTAATTGACCCGTAATTAACGCAATTAACACGGAATTAAGCAGCGATCGGGGCGGGCCGGTGGCGCCCTCTGGCGGTGCCGGTGCGGAACGAGCCCGCCCCGGTCCCGCGATGCTCCCGGAGCACCGGACGGAGACTCCTGGAGCCCTCCGGGATACCGGGCGTGCCCGTCGGTCCTCTGGAAGTCGCGGGGTCCCGGGAAGGAGCGGGACCCCCGGGGATTCAGAGTTCAGGAGGTTGAGGCTCCTTCCCCGAGGCGGTGACACCGCAGGGGACAACATTCGGGTGTCACCGCCAACCGCGGTGCTTGTTCCGGTGACGGGAGGGGAGGTGAGACCCCCAGAGTCTGTCTGGGACAGAACGGGACCCCGGGGACGCAGATCCCCCCCCTCAGCTTTACTTTCTGTCCCACTCCCCATGGCAGTGACAGCGCTTGGGTGTCACCGGACCCGCCAGCCGCGGGGACAGCCGGTGCCAGCTGTGGTGGCAGGAGGGAAGCCGGGCACCCCTCGGCCCCAGGGCAGCGTGGGGAACACTCGATATGAAATACAGCTGGGGTTGTGGTTGGGGGAATAATAAATAGGCAATAAATAGCGATAAATAGTGGGGGGACAAGGCACAGGGACATACTGCAAAGGCACAGGGACACGCCACAGCGTTGTCCCGTGGTGCTGACAGCAGGAATAGGAATTGGGGCGCTCCCAACCCCCCCTGCTCTGCTCCATGCCCCGCCCAGGACGCAGCAGGGTCTAGCAAAAACCCCCCCGTGGGATCTGGGCCGTGGCAGCCACTCCTCTGTGTCACTTCCCCGCTCGCTCCTTGTGCGACTCCGTCACCACTTGCTGCAAGAGGAGAATTTGGGGATCAGTCCCGTGGCAGGGTTGGGCCTGCCAGGCAGGGCACCCCCAATTCTCACCTGCCCGTCCCGTGTCTCGATGGTTTTGATGAGCACCATCCTCCGTGCCGGGCTCTCTGCAGGCTGCGGCTCCAGCACTGGGCACAGAGGGGCCATCAGCACCCTGTGCCCTCCCAGACACCCTGGGCAGGAGCACAGGGACCCACCCACGGTCTTTACCCCCAAGGAAAGACCCCCAGACATCGTGGGGGACCCTCAGATTGTCGCTCACCTGAGCTCCTCGTGCTGAAGGAGGTGCTGGGGTGCAGTGGGATGGTGATCCTGGGGGGAAGAGGGGCATGAGGAGGGGCTGGGACCCCTGGACATTGCCAGTGACCTTTCCACACCCTCGAGGCCGTGAGCCACATCCCAGCTCAGCTGGGGGCTGTGCCCGTGGGCTGCCAGCTGGCACCCAGAGCAGAGCTGGAGGCAGCTCCCCCACCATCCCCTGGCCTTGCTTTTATCTCTGCTCCCACGGGAACCTCTTGTGTTCCTGCAGGAACAAGGCCTGGAGCTGCCTCCTCCCAGGAAAATCCCACAATAACCGGGGTGACTCAAGGCAGGGGACATTCCCCCCGGGGCAGTGGGGACACTCCGTGTGCCAGGCTGCCCTCACCGGCTCTCCTCGCCCTCCAGCAGCTTGCGGTACGTGGCAATCTCGATGTCCAGGGCCATCTTGACGTTCAGCAGGTCCTGGTACTCGCGCAGGTGCCGCGCCATCTCCTCCTTCATCTGCTGGATCTCCTGCTCCAGCCTCCCCACCACATCCTGGTAGTTCCCGATCTCCTCCCCGAACTCATCCTCCATCTCCCGCATCTGCCGCTGCAGCGCCTCGTTCTGCAAGGGAAGAAAGGGCTGCAAAGGGCCGGGGTGGGGTCTGCTCCTTGCACCCCCCCGAACGCTCCCCGGCTCTCACCACGCCCTTCAGCCCGTCCACCTCGCAGGTCAGGCTCTGGATCTGCCGGCGGGACTCGTTCATCTCCTGCTTGGCCAGCCGCAGCGCCTCGTGGTTGCGGTTTGCAGCATCCGACAGGTCGGCAAACTGCACGGGCAGGGCGAGTCAGGGCTCTGGGATGGCTCAGCCTCCCCAAAATCCCTCCCAGCCTCGGGTACCTTTGACTTGTACCACTCCTCGGCTTCCTGCAGGTTCTTGACGGCGATGCTCTCGTACTGGGTGCGGATCTCCCGCAGCGCAGCCGTCAGCTCCGGCTTGCACACCTCCACCTCGGCCAGCCCCGCCGCGCTGGGGCCACTCACCTCCAGGTCCCGCAGCTCCTGCGGGGGTGCGTGGGCATCACATCGTGGCACAAGGACCTGAGCTGTGCCCCCTCCCCGCCCCATCCCACCCCGGCCCCACCTCCTCGTGCAGCTTCTTGAGGAAGCCGATCTCGTCCATCAGCAGCTCGACCTTGCGCTCCAGCTCCAGGCGAGACAGCGTGGCGTGGTCCACGTCCTGTGGGAGAGGCCGGGGTGAGCTGCAAGGCAGCGTGGAGGGGATGAGACGATCCTGGAACCCCTGCCCCGGGGTGGTGGTGGCGGTGACAGGCAAAGGCTGAGCCCCCCAAACCATGTTTTTGCCCTGGCTTGCACAGGGCTGACCCAGCATCACCCCAAACTCCAGCTGGAGGCACCCAGGGAGGTGTGGAGGGACCAGAGTGGGGCTGCCAGTGTGCTCAGCCCTGGGGGTACCACAGACACAGCGGGTGCTCAGCTCTGGGGGTCCCATCCTGGCCCCCCAGGGAGGTGGGACCCTGCACTGATCGGTGCCATTCATGCCACCAGCACCTCCCGCGAGCCCAGAATTGGGGTTCCCCAGGGTCATTCCCGGTGCCCACCATTCCCAGTCCCCTCCAGCCACGGATCACGGATACTGCGCGGGGAGACGGGCCCGCCAACCCCCTCACCTTGCGGAACAGCACCAGACTCTTCTCGGCATCCTCACGCTTCTGTGTCTCGTCCACCAGCCTGGGGACAGCAGGGGATGAGAGGGAGGTGGGGGCGGCGGTGCAGACCCCCTCCTCCTGTTGCACACACAGCGGAGGCGATGGACGGAGCGTCCCCAGCGCTCGCAGCAATCCCCTCCCAGTGTCCCCACCCTGGCCTTGCCCCTCCCAGTGCCCCGCCCTTCCGCAGAGCCCGCATCTCCCAGTGCCTCCCAGTGCCCTCCCGGCATCCCGGGTGCCTTTCCCAGTGTCTGCTGAGCGTATCCCTTCCCAGGGATCCCCTTCCCCAGACACTCACCAGTCCCTACCCCGGGGCTCCCCCATCCCCATCCCGCTGCATCCTCCGCTCCCCATCCTGGTGCAAAGTCTCATCCCATAGCATTCCTCATGCCAGTCCCTCTCTGGCACATTCCCCAGTCTCCATCCCGTGCATAACTCATCCTGACACACCCCCGGTTCCCACTGCAGCTCATCCCTCATCCCAGTCCATCCCAGTTCACCCCTCATCCCAGTCCATCCCAGTTCATCTCAGTTCATCCCTCATCCCAGTTCATCCTAGTACATCACTTGTCCCAGTCCATCCCAGTACATCCCAGTTCATCCCAGTTCATCCCTCATCCCACTACACTCCTCATCCCAGTTCATCACTTATCCAAGTCCATCCCAGTCCATCCCAGTTCATCCCAGTCCATCCCTCATCCCAGTGCATTCCCTGGTCCCCGGCACATCCCCCCGCCCCCATCCCCGCATCCCTCATCCCGACCCATCCTTTCTCCCCATCCCTCTGCCTCCCCCGGCCCCGCCGCGGGCCCACCGCTGCCGCAGGGCCGCCAGGTCGGTGGCGAGCCCGTCCCGCTCCGCCTGGAGCCGGTCCCGGTCGCGGCCGAGGCGCTGCAGCCGCTCCCGCAGCCCCCGCAGCTCCCCCTGCACCAGCCCGGTGCGGGGCCCGGTGGCGGCGGTGGCGCGGCCCAGGGCGGCGCGGAGGGTCCCGTTCTGCCGTTCCAGCGCCCGCACCCGCTCCAGGAAAGCGGCGAAACGATCGTTCAGTGCCGCCAGTTCCTCCCGCTCCGAGCCCCGCGCCGCCGCCGCCTCCGCCAGCCGCCCCGGGGCCACGGTGAGCGGCGGCGGCATCCCGGGGTCGCGGTCACGGCGGCTCATGGTGGCACCGGGAGGGCGCTGGCTGCCGGTAGCGGCTGTTTATAGCGGACAGCGGCTCCGCCCCGCCGGGGGGACCCGGGGGTACGGGACAGAGAGAGGGGAGGGGTCTCCCGGCCGGAGGGAGGATCGGGGGCTGCGGATGTCCCCTCGAGGAGGCGGGGAAAGGGGCTGGGGGTGGTCGGGGATACCCCTGGGGATGAGGGGAGGGGGCTGCAGGATGTAGGGCTGCAGGCATTCCCCTTCGGGGGGCTCGGAGACCCCCGAGGGATGCAAGGCGAGGGGCTGGAGGGGTGCAGGCAGAGGAATCGAGCAGCACCAGGGGAAAGGGGGAGAGGATCCAAGGGTGCCCGGGAGACACAGGAAGCCCCCCCACCGCTGGGTCAGAAGGAGAGAGACCCTTACGGGGTTCCCCCCAGGTAGCATGGGGGTACAGACCCCCCAGGTGCGATGCAGAGGGGACTGCAGGGCTCAGGCGGAGCACCCCTCTGAGCGGGGTCCCATTCTGCCCGGGGGGCTCAGCATCCAGGGAAGGGGGGCCTCTCATCCAGCCCCCTCCCTTTCTGTCGGGGCCGCCGTGACTCGGCTCTGCGGGAGCTGCCATGCGCGGGGCAGCGCTGGACAGCGAGCTCTGCAACCCCCCCGGAGCCCCCCCTTTCCGGGCAGCCAGGGCGGCACTGACGGGAAGGAGTCGGTGCCCTGCCCAGAGGCTGTGGGGAGGGTCCCCCCCCGCCCAGGACCCCCTCCCAGCTCTGCAGAGAACCGCATCGAGAGTGGCTCCGTGCCAGCAGCAGCATGACACCACGTCTGCCCCGTCTGCACCAGGCTCTGGGCAGGACACTGGGGGCTCTCAGGGTCCCCCCCTCACCTGGTGACCCCCAGGGCCAGCAGAACGCTGAGGAGGACATGAGCCCCCCACCAGTGCAGGCACTGCCATCTCAGAGCACAGGACCCAGCCAGGGACCCCAACCCCACACCACCCCCCAGCCTCTCCCAGCACAGCCCCTGTGCCAGCTGGCAGCAGCGCCGGGCAGCCAGCCCAGCTGAGGCCCCCCCTCCCCTGGGATGTCCCCCCAGGTCACCACAAGGCGGATTGTCCCAGCACAATGAACCAGGCAGCACGGGAAAGAGGCATTTTAATGAACAGCACCACAGTGTAGAGACAAGGCACTAGTATTCCTCTCCCTCCTCGTCGCCCTCCATGCTGTCAGCTAAAACAAGAGCAAACTGTCAGGAATTCTGAACTTCAGCTGCTACTGACTTGCCCTGGAAGGCAAATATTCCTTCCAGGATCTCAGGACCTTCCCACCAGGTCCAGGGAAAGTGATCCCTTCCTGCAGGGATTTGGGGACACTCAGTAGAGACAAGGAGGGACATGTTTATTCCAGGCAGCAGAAGTTGCCCCTCTCCTTGGCCTCATGAGGACATCATTAGGGTGTTCCACCACCACGGCAGGAACCACCAGAGTGGGAGACAAGGTGGCCCTGACCTTACATGTTGGACACTGACTCATGGTGGATACCCCAGCTCTTGGGAGACACCCCAGCAGGATCTGGAAGTCAGCCACAGCTTCACCCCCTCTTTTTCCAAGAGGGTGCAGCAGGAACAGGCTCTTATCCCACAAGAGCCCACGGGCAGCCAGCTCAGCCTTTGATGTGCCAGGAGCTCCCCGAGCGGAGCCGCTGGCGCAGCAGGTCCGGCCACCCTGGCGCCAGATCCAGCGTGGGAACCAGAGGTTCAAAGAGCTTGGGCAGCCACACCAGTCAAACCAGTGCTGCACCAGCACCCAAACCATCTTTCCTGCCCCCCCCTGCCCTGGCCATGGGGCTTCACACCCTCCTCCCCTCGGCAAGGCTTCACACTGGGCTAGGATAGGGCCAGCAGGTCCGTCCTGGAACATCCCCACTCTCTGCCTCAAAGCACTGATGGGCTGAGAAGCACCTGCCCAGGGACACCTGTAGCTTCCCTTTGTCCCCACATACCCCGCAGGGTGAGACCCCACAGGACACTCACCCTTTAGAGGCGGGGGGCTCAGTCGGCGGCAGGACGGGTCCCTGAAGCCCCCGGCCGCAGCCTCAGGGAGCCCAGGGAGCGCCCCGGCCCCACTTGAGTGGGAGGTCTCGGGGGTCCCGTAATCCCGCCCCCCCACGCCCCCCATCCCCATCCCGGTGCCGTTCCCGTGGGAAGCCCCGCGGGCTCCCGTCGCGCCGGCTCCTGCGCCCGCCGCCGCCCTGCTCCCTGCCAACCCCGGGGCTGCTCCCCGGGGGAACTCGCGCGGGGCAGGTCCTGTGGGGCAGGACGGACAGGGCCGGGGGAGCAGCTCACGCCCACCCCCGGGGTGCAGTGCCCTGTCCCAGCCTGCCTGCCCCGCTCTGGGCTGGTTTGAAGCGGGTAGGAATCGCGTTCCAAAGGGTAGAGAGGGGTTTGGGACAGCTTGGGGACATTGGGGTCCGCCCCGAGACAGAATGACAGACCCCACGCTCCCCGGTGTCCCGCCAGTCCCTGGGTACCCCTCACAGCTTGGGCGCCTCAGTGTCCCTCCCGTCCTCGAACACCCTCAGTGTCCCCCCGCAGTCACTCCCAGTGTCCCCTCACAGCCTGGGCACCTCAGTGTCCCCCTCCGCCCCTAAAGACCCTCAGTGTCCCCCCCAGTCATTCCCAGTGTCCCCTCACAGCCTGGACACCTCAGTGTCCCCCCCCCGTCTCTGAGCACCCTCAGTGTATCCCCACAGTCACTCCCAGTGTCCCCTCACACCCTGGGCACCTCAGTGTCCGTCCCCTCCCCGAGTCCCCGGTGTCCCCCCGCTCCCTGGGCACATCCTCGGAGCTGGCACACGCCCGGGGCCGGGGTGCCCGTTGTCCCAGCAACACCCACCGGTGTGACCGGAGCCCCCCGAGACCCCACCACGCCGGTTCCGAGGCCCTGCTGGGGGTCAGGGGGTGCTTTAGGGGGGCCACCCACTCCCCGGGCCGAGTGTCCCTTTTGTTGTGGCTCCGGGAGGGGGCACAGGGACACCCAGGCTGCGGGAACACCGGTGACACCTCCCTGCTTCCTCCCACAGGTCGCCCGCTGCCCCCAAACACCGGGGCCGGGGGGGTTTCCCTCTGCCCTGCGGGTGGGGCAGGGGCGCGGTCAGGGGTGGGTGCCACCCCCCTGCGGGTGCAGCCCCCCCCTGCCACCTTCGGCCAGCCGAGGGGCTGCGGGACCCCTCCAGCACACCACGGCCTCATCCGGCACCCCGGAGAGGAGCGACCCCCCCGAGCTGCCCCTGTCTGTCCATCTGAATGAACCTGTCACATCGATGGTGGCAGTGGATGGACGGACAGACAGACAGAGCTGGGTTCTGCGGGAAAACAGGCTAAAAATAGCAGCAGCCTCTGTCTGGGTTGTCAGCCCCGAGCCACGACAGCTCCTGATGGGGCTGAGACCCTTCGATTACTGGGGACAGCGTGTCCCAGCTGTGGGGTTCGAGGTCACCAATTTGGGATCCTCAGGAAGGGCCCAGAGTGGGGGAGGCTGGGAATCTCGGCCGTGACACGGGCAGGAGTCCAGCAGCCGGGAAATCAGCCCACGCAGGATGAGATGCCAGCTCTGGGAGCCCCCCGAGTCACCCAGCCCGGGTGGGGACAGCCATGGGGACTCTGTGCAGACAGAGGAGACCCCAAGGATCTCCAGGGTCTGTCCTACCCAGTGGAACCAGGGGGGTGGACATGGTGGGGGGAGGAGAGCAACCGTCACCAGGAGCCACCACGTTGCTACCAACAGTCAACAGAGCACAGGAGAATGGAAGCACAGGAGCTGGGGGGGGGCTGGGAGCTGTGCCAGACCCCCCCCCATGCCGGCACTCAGCAGGGCTGGATACTGGGGGGGCTACAGGGCTGGTGACATCCACGGCAGGGTGGGCACTGGGGGACCCCAGTGCCTGTGTACCCCCCGCTTGGCACAGCAGAGTGATCAGCACTGGGGGTCCTGTGCCCCACCCGCGGGGTCAGGCACTGGGGGGGCCAAGGACAGTGGGGTGAGGCACTGGGGGTCCCAAGGATGGTGCCCCACCCTTGGGGTCGGGCAGTGGGGGTCCCAAAGATGGTGCCCCACCCTTGAGGTCAGGCAGTGGAGGATCCCAAGAACAGTGGGGTGAGGCAGTCAGAGTCCCAAGGACAGTGCCTCACCCACAGCTGAGTGTGGCTGAGTGTGGGGTCCCAAGGATGGTGCCCCATCCTCAGGATCAGGAATTGGGGGGTCCCAAGGACAGTGGGGTGAGGCACTGGGGGTCCCAAGGATGGTGCCCCTTCCTCAGGATCAGGAACTGGGGGTTCCAAGGATGGTGCCCCACCCTTGGAGTCAGGCACTGGGGGTCCCAAGGACGGTGCCTCACCCACAGCTGAGTGGGGATCCCAAAAATGGTGCCCCACCCTTGGGGTCAGGCACTGGGGTGTCTCAAGGACAGCGGGGGTCCCAGGGATGGTGTCCTTACCATGATAACAAGGCCAGGCAGTGGTGGGAACCCAGCCTTGTCTGCCTGCAATCCCCCGCCTGCCAGGCCCCAGGATGGATGTTGGGGAAGGGGGATACGAGGGGGGTCCCAGCCCATCTCCTAGCAACCGGTCTCCTAGCAACCCCACCCGTTGCCTGGCAGCAGTGGGTGCAGGACGTGTGGTCGTCCATACCCAAGGAGATGGGAGGGGGCTGGGGGGTGCCGGTGGGGCTGCAGCACCCAGTGCCCCTCATCCTGCACCCCACACCACCCACCGGGGCTGAGCCACCCCCGCCCCACGAGGCACCTCCTGCCCTCAGCTTGGGGCAATAGCATGGGTGGGGTCTCTCCTTAGCTTGGAGAGTGGTCCCCGAGTGAGGGGGCTGCTGTGAGCCCCCAGAACCCCCGGTTTGGGGACACCATGGGGACACCCTGACAGCTCCACACTGCTGTTGAGCACTTGAGGCTGTAGGGGGACAAAGGCAGGAGGCATTTCCCATGCAGGGATGGACCTACAGTCGGGTCAGA